AATCCGAAATTGGCTCAGAATCTCGAAAAAGTAAAGTGTATCCGTGAGCAACTGACGAAGTCCCAATAGATTTATATGTGCAGGGATGTTATATTTGTAAGCAGTGATAGAGTGCAGGCGAGCTGGTAATTAATCGACATCTTGTCGACCCTGAGATGGGGAACGATAGTTGTGTTCGTCTGTTTTTTTTTTTTTTTTGTTTTTTTTTTATCGTTCTCTATTTCAGGGTCTACAAGATGTCGATATTATCTTATTCAAGTCACTGAAAAATGAAAGACCATTTTTGTACTTGCATTTTACTTTTCGGTACTCTAGTCAATGCTGAGCAATGAAAGCTATTTTTACCTGTTTATGCTTACCCCGTTGCAAATCGGTTTTATCATGTGTCACACTGGCATGTGCAGTTTCGCTTTATATGTTTTGTGTAATTTGCACGTAATTTAGTAAAAAAAACATTTGCAGCGAAAACGTTAATTGAAACTATCGTTAAGTTCACATGGAATTATTTGCATGGCATATTTTCTTTAGTTTCGAAAACCATGTGACATTTATCCTCTATTTTAGCATTTTTTTTTAAACTCGTATGCTACTCACAACTTCCTCCAAGACCTTGTTTATGTTGCTCCCAGCCTTTCTAAACTGCAGTTTTTTCTGCTCCCAAGATTGCTACAAATCTCCTTTGCCCAGTTCCATCCCTGATTTACCGAATACACACTGATCCATGGAGTTAATTTATGTCTTCATGCCTCCAACCTAGGGTATATGTCTCAAATTATACTTTTCGAGATACGGTATTATGCAATGGCACTTCTGCCTCGCACCTTAGAGTTACTCTGTTTAGGTGGCTTTAACAGCCATTTTTGGTATTCGGAAGCGGTACTTTCCTTTTTAGTTCATTACTAAATTGGTTAATTACTAATTTCTAGATCTCCGACGTTGAACTACATAGGGACAGAACGAGCGGGTTGGTATGGATAGGTAAACTTGAGGAAGAAAACGAGAAAGGACGGACAAACACAAACTTTGTCCGTCCTTTCTCGTTTTCTTCCTCAAGTTTAACTGAACTACATAGATTCGCCTTTCGGGAACAACCAAGGAGCCAACCGAGAGAAAAGTCCTTTAAACAGAACTTTCCACATGCCATCATCTGGCGTTATTAGGAGACAACTACACGTAAAAATAAAATGGACAGCCTAGTTTGGACAGCTAGGGAGAAAATCGAAGCTGAAGCATGCAAGGGAGCGCGCCCGTGTATACTCAGTGGTGGCTCTCGAAAAGTTAAAAGAGCTGCGCAACAATTTTCGCACTTTTGTCAAATAATCGTGGGAGTCGCTCCCTGTCATATCTACGGTAAAGAACTGAAAACCCATTTAGCATTTGAGTTTTTTTTAATTGCCCAAGGTTGAAGTTTTAGGCGCCTCCCAAACGCTCTTAAATCTTGCACCATATTCCAAGTCATGCGCTCAGTGACGTGTAGCTGGGTGTACTGGGGACGTTTCCAGTTCGGCCCTCCAGAACCTCCAGTTCGTACTGTCACTTGCCGTGTCATTTGGAAAAAGAAAGGCAGTTTCTAAGTCTTGTTTATGGTTATACGATTTTTTCGGATCCCTGTCATTCCGCCCATAGTTGTATTCGAGAGCCGTGTTTTAAGCCATAAGCCAACTGTTGTTCGAACTTTGAGTTTTCATTTTTAGAACCTTCGCCTATCCATTAACATGCCTCGTGATAGTGTCTACCCTGCCGAAAATGCATGCCATTGAGCCCCATGGGACATCAAACGCACATGTTGCGATCGGTACTTGACAAAGTTTATTAAACATAACTTGCCCCTCCTTTTTTAACTTTGCACTGCAAGAAACGGACACGCGTTGTTGCCAGTTTTACTGTAAGAGGACTTCGCACCTTCACTGACCTTTGCAGTCTACTCTTTTACCCACCTGGCTAAATAATGTCGCTGGCAGTTTGGCTGCCGAGCTCTACAGCACAGCCCGTAACATAAAAGGATATTTTTTTGTAGATTTTTAGATTGTTAGTACTGCGGTACGTTCAGTTACATACCCCGAGAATAAGCTGACCCAACTTGTACGGGTCAAAGTTCAACAGGGCCTCAGGATCCAGCATTACATTAGGTTTTGCTGGATCCCGAGCCTTGTGGGCACTGCAGGAAACGAGGCTGCAGATGGACTGGCTGCCTCTTCGGGAAACCATTGAGTGTCGCGTGTCCGCATACCATACTTTTAAGATTCCCATAAGCTTTGCACTTTCAAAACTGGCAACCTTAGTAGGACTTAGCAGATCAAAACAAACTTCATGCCATCCAATTCAGACCTGGGAAACCTTTTAAAATTGGTTTGAAGTTGTTCAGCAATGCTTGAGAGTTCGCCACACCTTCCTCACCCATCAGTACTTTCGTGTGGGCGAAGAGCTTCAGGTATGCACACACTGTGCAGAAACTTCGCCCGTGTAACGTATTGTGTGTCCTTGCCCTGGTCTTTTGCAACACAAGTGCTATTCCCAGAGTTTTTTTAAGTACTGCATTCCATTCCACCCTTCCGTTTCTAGGAGAGCAGGTTCTTATATCGCTTGAATGTTAGCTTTTCTAAAAATATAGGGATTTTACCCAAATTATATTCCAGTTTCAGCCGTAACTTTTTTTGTTTGTGTGTGTGTTGTGGGCCTCCGATTCGGCCCTTCGGTCTCTCTGCAACCACCAGCATCGGTATGAGTTGCAAATTAATATTACCATTATCATTATCATAATTGTACTTTTACTAGAGTTCTTCAGTGAACCTAGTTTGTCGCAGTATGGCCATTGGAGCTTTTGCGCCATAAAACCCGCAAACAGCAACGACCTGCGCCTGCAGCTCGTTGCTCGCCCTCCCGCGGCGGAAACGGAGAGCGCTCTAGTGAGAATCCATCCCCTCGCTCCTGCTCAGCGGGCACAGCGGAGCTGCTCGCGATCATGGCTCGCGAGATTTCATCTCTTCACTGTTTCATCTCAATGTAGTGCTGCAGCCGGCGTGGAAGTGTACCTTGCTAGAGTGTTTTAGTATTTCGCATAGAAGCAAAGGCAAGCGCTGTGCGTTAGAGTTGCGTTCCCAGCGCTGTGCACGCGCGTCGTCACCCTGCGCCAATCCAAGACCGCAATTTCGGGCACGTGCAGTGTGGAACACGCCACGCTGACGCAAAGACAAAGTGCTTGCGTTCCCTCAGGTACGCAATACTAAGACTAACTACTGTTTTACCGGTTTCCAACTCCAACGAAACGTGCTGCAGTGAGCAGATGTGCAAGCGAAGGCGTTCCTTCGGACTGGAAAGGCTGAGATTGGCAAAGCGACGCCGCGTAAAAATTAAAGATAATAGATGGTTCTGGGAAAATAGGCAGTTAAAAAAAATCGTAATCTTTTTGTTTATTCTTTTGGGGCCGGCCTTTTGGTTCGAAAGGATTGGCGGCGACTTTGGAACTTTTACCGATTGTCAAAAGATGCGACTTTGATAGCCTCATATGATTTACCCACAAGTAATGTAATTTTACGTGGATTTTTCAGACTAGCTAGAATCTTGTCATTGATTTTAGACTATTTATAATATAACTTCTAAATTAAAAATACCGCGAATGGCACCAGTTATGATAATTTGCACACTTTGATTACCATACATATTCCCGCGTTTGAAATTAGGTCACAAGAACAAATTATATTAGAGCTGTAAAAACGACGTAATGAAATATATTGTATTATTATTATTATTAATACAAATTGCGGCAATGCAGGCCGTTAATAAACGCCACGATAAAAAAATACGTTATTTAACCATAATAGTCTTCCCAGAAAGGCTTCATTTTTTTTTCTTTTAACCATATGGAAAATTGACACCTTTGTCAAGATAGAAAAACACTCAAAACAAAATGTAATAAAAAAAAAAAAAAACTCACACTTTTTCTGTTTGACTCGGATCCCGTCTTTAGTTTTTATAAAGAGAACAGTGTTTCTTTATTTACAGGTTTTGTGAACATATTGTACAGTCATCACCCGTGGCGATATTTTGTAAAATTTGAATTAAGTCTGTTATTCTTGTGCCGGAAATAATGTTAAAGAAATTAATCATTCAAATGCCCAACGAACAACATTAAAAGGCTATCATGCCATTATTTCAGATGACAATTATTTGAGCCAGAAAAGGCAGCAACAACACACAAATATCAGCACTGATAGATTCAACAGAAACAATATTTAATGTTATCTCTAAGGTCTAAGGAACGCTGAATTTTCCAAAATATTTTTAAGTGCCTGGATAGCGCACTAAGTGCCTGGATCGGACACGTATGTCACAAGATAAAGTTTAAGGTTAGTTTCAGTTTCTTTCAGAATTAAGACGTGCCTCCTGGCGTAAATGTCACGCTAAACACCACTTTTGTTTTGAGCATAAAGGGTTCACCTTCGCTCATAACACTTTAGCTTCCTCGTATAAGCAAAATAATTTGTGTCGTCCAGTGAGGCCAGCATACTAGACAGGCATACCGCCACTCATCCCCGACCCTCACTAGGACTGCCATTTTGGAAAACGAGTGGCGTCACCTATAGTGAATTGGAGACACGAATAGCGCCTTGCACTTCCTGCACTTGCAGCATGGATTGCCATATTCACTTGCAGTATGAATTAAAATGGCAATTGACCACTTGGCACATTCCGTGTAAAATTACATAAAATTACGAACTAAAATAAAAAGGTGCCTTTGGGTATACTTGCCTATATTCTTTACTTTATTTCTTTTTTCCTTACTTGACTCCATGATTGTTCTCTTGGTCCAGATACTGAATGCCTCTATTTTTACCGTTATTCCAAACGTATTTTTCTTAACCAAAATAATCCATTAAAGCCAACTTGGCAGAAAAAGGAATGCAGCGAGCTACAAGCGCCGCTCTTTAATTAAATGAAAGTGCCTGCGTCCAGGCAGTGCGTCGATCGAGACCTCAGACCCCCGCCCCCTCTCCCTCCAGTACACGCCCTGCAACGTCCCGGGACCGGGATGCGAGGAGCGGGAGTTCTGCGAGGCCTTCCCGGGCTGCGACTGCGAGCCCGAGTGCCGACCTCCGTGCGTCTGCATCGCCCGCAGCGGCAGGGCGCTCTGCCCGGCCGTCGAGTGCTCCCCGCTGTGTCGCTGCGACGAGACCTGCCCCAACCGGAAGGTGCAGCGCGGCATCTGCTTCCGGCTCCAGGTGTTCAAGACGACGGCCAAGGGGTTCGGCGTGCGGACGCTGGAGCCGATCGCGCGAGGCAGCTACGTGTGCCCGTACGCGGGGGAGGCGATCGGGCTGCGGACCGCGAGGGAGCGCGTGCGCGGACTGGACCCGCACGAGCCGAACTACGTGATGGCTCTGCGGGAGGGGGGCCGAATAGCCCTGGTGGTGGACCCCTCGAGAGTGGGCGGCGTGGGCCGCTTCCTGAACCACTCGTGCGATCCCAACTTGGAGATGGTGCCGGTACGGGCGCAGTGCGTGGTGCCCGAGCTCTGCCTTTTTGCGCGCAGGGACGTGGGGCCGGGGGAGGAGCTCACCTACGACTACTCGGGGGGCTCGGACGGGCGCGGCGGAAGGCCCTGCCTGTGCGGCACCCCCGCCTGCCGCGGCCAGCTGCCCCTCGACGTCGACGTGCTCGGCGTCTGAGCTCACGGGGGCGCCCCCTGGCTCCGGTCCTTGATGCGGACGCTCCTTCTACCCCTACCCAGACTTGCGCGACACTAAGAGAGTCGGGCCCAGCCTCAGGGCACGTAACAGATGTCCTTTTTGCACCCTGAGTGCGGATAGTGGTGAATTCTTGTTCGCACTCCGAGTGCGAATTTTCGCTGGATTCTGTGAGATCCATCAAGTGTGCGGGGAGTGCCACTAGTGATGGCACTGTGTCGCGAAGGTGTTCTCTCGCTTTTGTTCTACGAATAAAAATGGGGAGCTGAAAGTAAACATGTATTGACTTGTGTCTACAGACTAAAACGTACCTAAACCCACGCCCTGCCGCTGCTTTTATACACGCGCTGCGTACGTTATAAAACAGAAGACATAATGACAGCGGAGAATTGCTCGGAACTTTCTAGAGAGATGAATGAAAGGAATGACTAGCGGACTTCGATCCCCGTTCCTCTGCGTGGCAGCCGCGTTCGTTGCCGATTCGGTCAGGCACGCGGCATTGCGATGCATGGGCAGCAGTTATCGAAAGCATCTACTCAAACATTCTGCGTACCGTGTGCCCACTGCCCACACCTGTGTTGTGTGTGGGTGGGGTGCCCACCCACACACAACACAGGTGTGGGCAGTGGGCTGCTGCGGCTCTGCGGGCTTCTGGACGGAACATGGCGGCAATGTGACAAGCACTCCGGCCGGAACCCACCGAACGCCTTTCATTGCTTGTGTGAGCGTAGAAGTATAATACTTTTTTTTTTTTTTTTATACTTTGCACGACGATGTTTTAAACATAAAAACGAAAGGAATCGACAGGCCTCCCTGAATGTGAGCATTAATTGAACGTTTTGAAATTTCTGTCGCCCTTTCTGTAGTGCTCTGTTTTGTTCGTGTTGCGACATTTTCCCGTGCGCAAAACACCACCACCCTCTCCTGGGTTTAATTGCTGATCGTATAATTTCTTCTGGGCGTTTTTCGGCTTGATGAAGCAGCGTGCTGGTAGCTTAGAAAACTTAAACAAGGAATGCTTATGTCACGTGGCTCCCAACGTTACAAGCCGGGAAGTGTCTCACTAAGACGATGTTAGCTCTTTTGACTAATAACTGCGCCCACGAATGCACGAGGGAGCATCACATGTAAAGCATGTTTCATAAAAATAAAATATTCTTCATGGCGGAGGCAAGTACAGGCCAACCAAGGCTCACGCATTGAGGCGAATTAAGACAACCCAGGGGACAAATGCAGTGTTTTGTTTTCGATCTCTGCACAAATTTCAGCCTTTAAATACGACAAAATAACAAAAAATTTCAAAATACCTAGACGCTACACTCTAAAAAAAAAAAAAAAAGGGTGTAAAAGGGTGTATCGTTACACCCTTTGTTCCACATAATACACCACAAAACTTCAATTCTGTTCGACTATAGTGCACTGTACGTCGAACTAAAATTTTGGGGTGCATTATATGGGACAAAAGGCTGTAAGGTAATACCTTTTTTTTAGGGTGATATAACTAAGTATACATGCCAATAAATACTCGCAAGTATTTATTTATTAAAAAGAAAGCAAAACATTGTATATTTTTCAAGATGGCGCCAAGGAAGTTTGTGTGGAAAGTGCTCCGTCCTTATTGTAGGCAAGCAACAATTTCTGGCTTGTGCTGCCGGTGTCAAACGCAAATTTCATTGCTGGTGCATAAACGTAGGCCTTGAGGATTACAACGTGCTCATGTCATCTGGGAAAAGTGTTTTTGTCATATCCAAGCAGGGAACCAATTTAGGTGACCAGTGACCACACCCTTTATTGAGGAATGCCAACATGCAGTCGCCAACTCCGAACACAAGAGAGGAACAAAGTGTGGGGAGCCTCGTCTATACGTGACTCTTGTATAACTTTGCCGAGCCTGCCCAGACGCTCAATGACGTGCACATGAGCCAAAGCGCGAGGGCGATGAACTGGAGGCGTAAATAACACGTCGCATGTAACAATCCTTCCCCAACTAATATCGAAACTCTAGTAATGCCAACGATCAGGAGGGCGCCTTTTCCTAGTGCCGCTCCTGGAGGCAGCCGGTGGTCCAATACCAGCGGGCATTCGATTGGGGTCGGGTGCAGACCGACCAGTACTGGGATCAGTACCAGTTGGTATGCTGACCAAATCTGCGGCATGGGACATGTCAATTTCGGGACTGTCTGGCGGGGACTGCGAAGGCTCTAGGCACGACCGTCGCAAATGATCAGCACGCACAAACCGCACTCTGTTTCACACAAACACCAAATACGTGACCGCTGACTTCACATGCGTCACCTTGCCAAGCAACCATTTCACCATATCATCCACCACCCACAGAGCGCACAAGAACACGAATCCCGGAGAAAAGCTCACCGGAGAAAAGCTCACCGGAGATAAGCTCACCGGAGAAAAGCTCACCGGCCATTGAGCGTATGCGGAGAAAAGCTCACCGATTTTTTTTTATTTTCTTCTTTTTATATGGAGGCTGTTGGATCCATGCGTAACATATATCAATTTATTTTCATTAAAATTCGACAGCTTAGTAAAAAAGAAAATGTCATTTTTTTGTATTATTTGTAAGCTTATTGGGTATATTGCTCCCAGATAAATAATTGTGAGCGAGTGTTTTCTGTGGCTTACTCTCTAGGCAACGAAAGCCTAACTGAAAACTTCATGAACTTGACGAAGCGGAAAAAGTTCGAAAACTTAATAATGTCTGCCTAAAACCTAAAAATCAAAACTGTAAATGCCGAAAATCCGAAAGCGCATACGCAACAACGCGGTGCCTGAAATTATTTTCGAAGCTTTAGTTAACCTTTGAAAACAGGATAAAACAGTCAGTAGGATATTGAGGCTTCTTTCTTCCACGGACATGCATGTTTTCTAGCCGTTCGAGCTTGTGTTTCGACACGTTGCCTTTTGCGTGATAGTGACCTTCTACGGTGAGCCATTCATGACGTTCAGAGCTGCACACTGGCACCGTTGTTACTCGTGACCTATATAAAAAGTAGTCTTCTGTAAGGTAGCGAATAGGGCGAGTTGGTAAACTTTATACATGATGAAAACCGCTCAAACGACGATGACGGAGTGAAGACCACAAAACACGGCAGGACGAAGCTGTTCCCGCAACTAAAGTTTTGTTAGTGAAATTAACAGAAAGAAAACAGCGTAGCCGACACTGATTACATCAACGAAGACCTACTTATCTATTAGGCACTACACAATATATGGAGCTAAAATGGTTCACACACCACTATTCATACTATCTCGTCAAGAACAAACCTCTTTACTTGACAGAACCGACGGCGCACTGTCATTTGTCAATTAATTGTCGTCTTTTTTACCGGTGTACGATGTTCTGATTTTATACTTGCGGCTTCATTAATATACAAAATGGGTGATTACTAATTTCTGAGCAATTAGAAATATGCCCAATGAACTTCAAGAACATTACAAAAAAGATGACATATTTTTAATGAAGTGACGAATGCGAATTGTGTTAAATTGCCACGTTTGACGTAGAATCCGCTAAGTTAATAAATCGGTGAGCTTTTCTCCGCATCCGCTCAAAGGCCGGTGAGCTTTTCTCCGCATCTGCCGGTTTTGCGGTGAGCTTTTCTCCGGTGAGCTTATCTCCGGTGAGCTTTTCTCCGGTGAGCTTTTCTCCGGTGAGCTTTTCTCCGCCGCCCCAAGAACACAGTCATCCAGGACAAAAGACCTGGGCATAGATCTGCGCTTGTCGGCAAACATTGTCCGTGTTGTCGCACAGAGCACTCTCCGTGTTTGGCCGTAGCAACGACAAACGTGTCCGCAGTTTCCTCCATAAGGTGTCTTTACCGTGAATGTGTGTGGCGTTGTTCGGTACTAAAATAAGAAGTCATTCCGATGTTGCAGTGATCTCGTACTGCCTTTTCCTTTGTCCTCAGGCAACTGCTTCAGCAGTGCCTTTTTGGTTGTTTGGACCGCACGTTCGGCAGCTCCGTTTGATTGCGGATGGTAAGGAGGCGTAAGCGTGTGCTTGACTCCCGTGTGCTTCAAGAACATCCTCAAACACTGCGGCTCGGAACTGCGGACTGTTATCAGTCAGTACTCCATGGGCAAACCACGGGATGCGAACAAGGAACGCACCGGTTTGAATCGTTTTGTTTGCTGTTGTCGAGTGCATGATTCTTGATTGCCATCCATTTCAAGTAGGCGTCAATCACGACAAGGAACATCTTTCCTTCTTTCTCCGCAAAATCCAGGTGCACTCTTTCCCATGAGTTTTCGCAAAGCTTCCAAGGGGACAAGGGTGCGGGCTGGGCTGGGGGCGAGACGCTTTGACATGTTTGACACTTTCGCACGGTTTGTTCCAGTGTTTCGTCTATACCCGACCACCTGACCATCGACCGTGTCACTGCTTTCATTTTCGTTATAGCCCAAGACAACAACTTGCAGACATTTGGGAATGACAATCCTGTTTGTCCAGACAATACAGCCTTCATCGCCAGAGAGCTCAAAACGACGTGTCCAAAATGGCTACAGTTCCTCCGAAACATTTTTCGGCCTACCATGGCAGATCATGTTTCTAACAACTCTGTACTGGCCGTCGCGGGCTGTTTTATGCTCAATGTCTTTAGCTGTGATGACAAGATCACTTACTGAGGGAAAAAAAAGTATTCCGACTGTTCCTCCGGGTCTGCCATTGGAAGGCGAGACAGTGCATCAGCGTGGCCGGTAGCTGTTCCTGGCTTGTGCTTCACATTGTAGCGATAATTGGCTAGGAATGTTATCTATCGTTGTACTCTAGCTGTCGCTACAGCACTCCCCTGTCTCTTTGGATCAGAGAAACTCGTCAGTGGCTGATGGTCTGTGCGCGTTAAATGTTCGACCGTAGATGTACTAGTGGAACTTTCTAAAGCCGAACACAATGTTCAGGGCTTCTTTTTCTATCCGACCGTAATTACGCTCGGATACAGACAGTGATCTAGACGTTAACGGAATGGTTTCTTTTCCGTTCACAATGAGGGCCAACACTGCCCTACGTCTGTATTCGAACGCGTCACATCTCATCTCTTTTGTGACGTCATACACTATCAAAACGCTCTGATCTGTCAGCAACTCTTTGTACTTCTTGAACGGGTCATCACACTCACGTGACCAGTGCCATCTCGTTTCCCTGCGCAGCAGGTCATGCATCGGCTATAGCACAGGGGCTAAACATAGGCAAGAATTTCGCGTAAAAATTTACAAAGTCCAAAAAGACTTCCAGCTGGGTCACGTTGGTATGTTTTCGCGCATTTTTAATTGCCGCTACATTGTCTGCAGTCGAATGCAACCCATCTTTCTCAATTTTGTGCCCCAAATATCGTACTCTCTGCTGAAGCAGCTTGCATTTTTCAGCTTTGAACCTAATGTCGTGATTACTTAGGTGCATGAGCACTTACTCCACCCAGTCATGATACTGCTTCTAGTCCTCAGCTGCAATAACTATATGTCATCTAAGTAGCAGACAGTTCCCGGCATACCGCGTACGATATGATTCATTAGGGCTTGAAAGAGAGCTGGTGCGCATGGCACGCAATATGGCGAGCGCT